AATGCAGAAACCTGAAGACAAAGACACGTGTAATTGTCCCGTCTTCCTCCCCTCACCCCTGACCAGTTGCGGCAGATGGCTGCCCCACCCCAAACGTCGTTCTGCTGGAGGTGTCTTCCTGTTAAAAGGAAGTTTTTCTTTCCCACAATCGCCAAAGCACTTGCTCATAGGGTTTTATTTTATTGTTGGAGTTTTCTGTGTTTTCTCTGTACTGTTGTAGGGTCTTTACCTTACTATATGAAGCACCTTGAAGCAACTGTTGTTGATTGATTGAAATGGAATATTTTAGAAACATTTATTAAAGTCTTAAAGCAGAAGTATTAACAAGCACCCTCTTCTCTTAATTCTCTTTGCCCACTTTTACCTAAAATACAACAAATAAGACCATCAGAAAACAACCTCACATACAACGCCCAGCATGAGGGGGAAGTTTACAAGCAAAGCGCTTTCTCAGAAGGTTACTTGAATCGTCTGAAGGAGATGATTTACCTGTGATTTACGTATCCGCGTGTCAGCCGACACCCTCTCCTGCTCTTCTGACTCCAGATTCCTCTCAATGGCTGGGAAGAAGGCAGAGTTACTTCACTTAAACAACCTTGAACTGATTAAATATAACACCACTATTCACTTGTTTACTAATCCAATAAACATACAAGTTATTCATAATGACAGGCTGTATGTAGAAATGGGAGCGGGACTCACTCTTGAGTTTGTTCCTCGCACCGTTGGCCAACTTCTTTATGTCATTGGTGATCGCCTCCAAGTCCTCCTGTGTTTCTGTGCAGGATACAACATAGTGCAGATTTTCAGTGCCGATGCCTTTCCTGATCAATGTTGTGTTATTTTGTAACGCAAAAAAACGAAGTAAATGTCAGAGCTGGTGGTGATTTCTTACTCTGATCTGATGTGGGAGCAGACAAGATGACAGAGTAAAGCTTTTTCACTTCTGTCACGTTCTCATCGATTTTATCAATGTTGTTTCGGATTACCTCGATCTGTAACACAAGGACACACCGCAAATGGCAAACACATGCAAATCACACCATCTTAGAACACGCAGGTCCTCGTGAATGCAAGCGAAGCAAAACAATCACACTCAGTGCATACATACACCCATAGCAGCACTTACCTCAGAAAAGAACTCATCCATAAAGCCTGCATTGTCCACAGCAATCTCCACATCATCATCATCTTGATCACACACCTATAAGAATAAACAGAAAGAGCAGGACTAAGAGCGTGAGGTGGTAGGCCCGCAGGCCCTATGATTCTCAATGGCTTTTCATTCTTCATGTAGAACAAGCCCATCCAAAAAGTTTCCTTGTCAACTTGTTGTCTTTAGGTTAAGAGCCGACTAGTTGCTGCACAATTATGGTATTAATTATTTAATTCATATTTTGGGGCTTTGCCAGAAAGAAAACCAGCGCTGTTAACACTGCACTGCATTAAAGGTCCATGCAAAACTCCCTAAAATTAATTTTTAAATCCAAAACCAGCCATTTGTTTAGGACATCAGTAAAATGTTAACTATTCAAAATGCCTTACAACAACCTGCAAGAAGACAAAAGGGTTGAAACTGAGTTTATACAACTTTAATCAGATGACTTCCTGTTTGGTGATTGTGGGCAGCGTTGTCCTGCTTTCATGTTTCATGCAAAAAAACAATTTCGACCTCATTTCAGCATGGAGAGGTAGTTTAGTGCAGTTTCAGCACATTATTATTAGTTACATAAATCAACAGGATAAAAGAAAAAATAAAACTCTTAGCTTGTGTGTGCATGTGAAGCATGTGTCCTGAAGTAGTGACATTGGTTGAAAATGTGAGGTAGTAAGTCCTGCAGTCCACTACAAGGTACACTAATTAAAAGTTTTGTTTTACAAGGGGTAAAAATACTGTACATTTCTGAAATCCCACCAAATCAAAGTTAAGACTCAACTTGAACAAACAATTTAAGCTCAAACACCAGAATCTTAATATTAGCAAAAAAAGTGTAATTTAACCTCCCTCAAAGCCATAAAATGTGGAAGCTGCAGTTTCTGTCACTTTGAAAAGAAAGTCCATGTGCTCTGTTAGCCCAGCCGCCACACATGTAACATCAATGGAAAGCCCAGGATTTCCCCTAGACTCCATAAATTGTGCTTGACAGAGGTCATGTCAACGACAGAGGACAAAATGAACTGCTGGGTCTTGCAGAAGAATAACCTCGATATCGGTGCCTCCAACACTGTCAAACAGCACCACAGACTAGCTTGCAGATTTCCCGATCCAGATCTGGGAAGATCACATCCAGAGGATGCCCAGTAGTTGTCTGGAGTGCAAACAGGCATGTGGAGGTCATCCATGCAACTGAGCTATTTTATAACAGTTGGATCATCCTGTAGCTCTAACCCATCTAAGACTTTTCTCATGTATTACATATTACTTTAGCAATAAAGTATGTTCGCCATGATATTTGCAATTAGATAGCTAAAAAAAAAGAATACATAAATAAATAATGACATAACAAACCAGCCATGGTTCAAAACCAATCTACTGATCCAACTAGCAGTGTACACCCAGCATCCCCCTGGGGGCTCCAAACCTCTGTTTAAATAATTCAAAGCTACGTCCAAGTCCACTAAACTCTGCACTTGTTATTTTTTGTATCTCTAAAACCTGACAATAACAGTATTTAAATTAAACCTTTAACACCGGTGCAAACTTTAAAAAAAAAAAAAAAAAAATTAGGTCAGCAGTGGAGGCTCCAGGAAGTTCCTGTTCCCAGCCAGAAGTTAAGTCTGGTATTCACCTATAAAAACCACACCCTGAAACTTCAACACTTTGGTTCGCGCATGGATTATAATGTGGTTAGTTGTGATCTTTAGAGGTGCTGCTAGGGGAAGTATTTCCCATCTCAACGTCAAGCTAAACAAACTGGCTGGAGTCTAGTGAGAAGACGGATATCTCTATCTGCAGGGTAAATACGAAACCTCAAACAACATTAAAGGAAGTGTATTCAAATCACACTGCTAGACGATATATTAAATTAAAAAAAAAAAAAATAAGCAGCTGTGCTTTCTTTAAACAAAGTAGAGTCAAAACAATACAATTAGTTTAATTTAATTTACAACTTTACACATTTATTTTAGAGAGATTTTCTGTTTAATTTCTTTTTTCTGACGTTTTTCTGTTTAGGTTGGAAAAGCCACCGAACACCGTGAGCCTCCATGCAAAGCTATACTAAAGAAATTGCTTCCTGGTTAGCAGCTCAGCCTGACCCTAATCAGTTTACATCAAGCATTTCATCAGAATGCTTCTCGCTGCTGACTATACGTGTCACAAGTGACGGGCAGTAAACACAAGTCAGCACTGATGGTTTGCTACGCACGCACCAAGCACTGGCAGTGAATATTTAACATCTAGGACCAGAGGCAGGCTCCAAGATGTCAACCAATTTTCACTCTAAGCTGACTTCAACAAAACTGAGACAGAGTGAACGGACATCACGGCCACGCCGTGACTGCGTTTGATAAAGCGAGAAAAGAAAAAGCAGCTCTATTTGCTTCCTCCCTTCTAATTACTTCTGCTTTTAAGTTAAATATATTCTGATCAGACACCCGATGAGCTGTTCCAGGCATTTGTCCAGAGTTTGTGCTTTGTAACAGGTGACCTGCAGAGGTCCACAAATTTGGAATAAGCTTCAAAGCACTGATTTGGTTAGTATAATAATGTATGTTGGAAATTAAAGATGTATTTGCTGTATATTATCTGAGGTTTGGGCGTTGTATGTTATGGAGAGGCCCATTTCACAAATAACCGTCTTATATATTATCATTTTGGAATTTGTATTTTAATTAATTTGTGAAACCTTTGGCTCTTCAGGTGTGCACCCAGGTCAAAGTCGAGGCTTGGAAAATGTTAAGACGTCATCGGTTTGATGCCTCTGATCTCATATCATCTGACTCACACACAGTATTTACAATAGTAAGCTCCATAAATATTACGGTTCATTCATGCTGCACCTGTCCTCTGCTCCTGTTGTTCTTCTTTTCACTGTCATATTCAAACAGTAAGCATTTTCTTTTGCAGTCCTCAGTTTCTGGACAGTTTCAACATTTCCTGACATTTTACAGACAAAAATGATTAACTGAGAGAATAATCAGCAGATTCATCAGTATTGAAAGTAATCATTAACCCTTCTAGGCAGTAGCCTTTACTGCAACTGCACCAATGCTTACTTTTAGACTTGGCCTTTAACCTTCCAGCCTTCATCTAAAATTTGAATTGCAAATGTAGCCGAGACCATTTGCTTCAGGCTGGCGTACCTACAGCAGTAGTTGAACCGAGAGTTTCCAGGACATAGTGCTTGCTTTTGAATCTCTCGGAGAGTTATTCATCAAACACACCACTCAGGCTCACGCACACTCTCACACTGCATTTCTGCTCTTGTGAGATAAGACCAAGCACTCACTTCCTTCCAGTGTCTCTCATTCAGCAAAAACAAGAGGAAAGGGAGCAATGTGTGCACCAAACAACCAAAGACCACAAAGACACACACACACACACACACACAGGCCACTGCTTGTAAAAACATCGTGATAATGACAGGAACAGTCAGAGGCAGTGACCTTATCCAAGTCATCAAGAAAACTTTAACAGCATTACTCAATAAACTCACTTGCTCATCATATGAATTTACTTCACTTCAGAAGACAAGAAGAAATTCTTGGATCAAACTCCTACGATTCATTTCAGCTTAAAGTTTGGGAGATGGCCAACTCTTCATGATTGGTTTGCGAGATGTCACATATTTGGGAGGCATGTTTAGACAGGTGAACAAGGTTTATAAGAAACAATATCTAACACGAGCTTTAAATGGTGCTGCGAGCCAAAATCCAGCCCGACTGTTGGTGAATTAGATTTGCTCGCTTAGAAATAAAAAATAGAATAAAAAAAACAAAAAGCATGACAGCTATAATCTCATGCAGAAGATTGCATTTAAGATTTTGATGGCTGCACAGTGGGTAAAATTAAATCAAGTGGACATCACGATTAGAAAACATCAAACACGCAGCACAGAATAGTGATAGTGGAGTTGAAACTATGTGGGCACCAGTAGAGCTACAGGACAAGATCGACCAACCAGAAAAAAGAAAATTATATAAAAACAGCAGAGGTTTTGATGATCAATAAAAAGTTAACAGCCAAGCAAAAAGAAGAAAACCACTTTTGAAAGTCATTTGTAAGGATTTGTTGTTTCTTCAGGCTAATATGAATTTCAGTTTTTGGACAATTTGTCGAAAAATAATGCAGAAAATAATCAGATAAAATCCATAATAACAAGAAATGTTAGTTACTGCTGTCTGAGCAACAGCATTTTCTGTGGGATGGTTTAAAAATGAGCTGCTAGCTTTAAAAGCAGTAGCACAGGGACTTGGGGTCAGATTTACAGCAGCGTGGTGACAGAAGCCTATTTAGTCCATCAGCAGTTGTGTTGATGCAAAGCATCTGACAAGGGATTTAAAAACTCCATATGGCAATGAAGACGGCAGGTTTACGCAGTTACATTTTTACCACTGGGTGTAAAGTGCTTTGAGTGACTGATAAGACTAATAAAGTGCTACGTAACTACACTCCATTTACAATTTGTGCCAGTCAGGTTAGGAAGCAGAGCAGCACCAGAACCCCAGCTCGTCACTGAAGACACAGAACTGAAAACCAGATGAGCTTAAATGAAAGTGCATTTGAAAATACTATGAGGGAACAGAAAGGCAGAACAACAGAAAGTAACAGTCATGTTAGTCTAGCTCACAAGTGAGGTTACCAACTTCTCCTCTCAGTATTTCTCTAAAAATAGTCAAAAAAAACCAGCGTAAAGTGGAGCTTGGCCAATAAGCTGCCACATGTAACAATAACAATAACTTCAGCAAATTATGATTCTGCGCTTCATACAGTTTAGAAAAGTGCCAAGGTCTTCAGTACGTCAGGTGATGTGATAATGATGCCAGTGGCGTAAGCAAACATTGACATGAACGCGCGCACACACACAGCCTAGATTACTGTCGGCAAGTTAAACATTAGAAAGGAAACTCAAGGAGGGAAATGAAGACAGGGGGATAAGGTGGGAAGATAAAGAAACGCAGGAGTAAAGGCAGGTCGAGGTAGTCGGAAAAGACGCAGGAGAAAAATTATAAATGTCACACGGCCTGCTTATAAACACATGTCTGAACTAGTTCTGCTTACATCTGTACTTCCTTTAATGTAAAGCCAACTGTGTTGTGATAAAGATATCTGGGAGTGGGGGCAGGTGAGGAATACCACTGCTCAAACAATTTTAAAACACAGCAAATATTTGACCAGCAGTTTTAGGTAGCTATAGCAACACAACATCTCTCAACACACGCCATCATGAGTTACTGTACAACAGCAGCAGTATAACCCAATTCAGAAAAGAAGAGGCAAGTGATATGAAAATGTGGGAGGTTCGCGCTGTACTGCACCATTATTGATATAGACCCATTGGCCACTTTGCTAGAACCCCATTCCTTCAGAACTGCCTTGATTTTTCCTGGCATGCCAGAAACCTTCTTTTCAGTCCATCCTGACACAATTGTATCACAATGTTGCTGCAGATTTGTTGGCAGCATGTCCATGATGTGAATCTCTCGTTTCACCGCATCCCAAAGGTACTGAAGTAAGTTCTAGTGGACACAGTCAACACAATACTCAGGTAAACAACGCTCAGTTGATATTAAGGAACTCAAAGTGTGTAAAGACAATATCCCCCACACCACTAAACCACTACCAGCAACCTTAACTGTTGAGACATGCAGGAAGATCCATGCTTTCATGTTGTTAACGGCAATTTCTGACCCAACTACCTGAATGTTGCAGCAGAAATCAAGACTCTTCAGATAATGCAACGTTTTCCAGTCCTCTATTGTCCAATTTTGGTGAGCCTGTGTGAACTATAACCTCAGTTTTCTATTCTTAGTTGACACGATTGACATCCAGGGAGGCTGTAGCTCAGGAGGCAGAGCAGGTCATCTGCTGATTGGAAGGTTGGTGGTTTGATCCTTGGCTCCCCCAGTCTGCATGCCGAATATCCTTGAGCAAGATACTAACCACAAGTTGCTCTCCAGGGCATCCATTGGAGTATGAGTGTTGAGTATGTGTGCAGTTAGAAAGCACTTATAAGCATAGGAAAAAAGAAAAGTTGCATGTTGTATAAAGCGCTATATAGGAGTCCATTTACCATTACCATTTACATCCGGTGTGGTCTTCTGCTGCTTTAGCCCATCTGTAATAAGTGGTCATTTGAGTTACTGCTGCCTTTCCATCAGCTAAAATCAATCTGGCCATTCTCCTCTGACCTCTGACACCAACAAGGGATTTTCGCCCAGAGAACAGCCGCTTACTGGATACATTCTCTTTTTCAGACCATTGTCTGCAAACCCTAGAGGTGGTGTTGAGGGAAAATCCCAGTAGATCATTTCAGCATTTCTGAAATACTCAGACCATCTGATCTGACACCAACAACTACACCACGCTCAAAGTCCCTTAAAAAAAAGTCACCCCTCTTCTCCATTCTTCACCACCACCTGCCAACACGGCTAAATGCACTCAGTTGCCATGCCATGTAATTGAGTATAGGTCAAATGTCTGATTATCTTCATTTCTAAATAAATAGTTAAACAAATTATCAAGGTGCTGGGACCAGATCCTTCTTTCTTCAAGAGCTATAATAAAGTCCTCCCTTTTATCGAGCAACAGTTAATCAATACCAATGAAAACAGAGTGACTCACCTAAGTTATTTTTAGCCACGATACACCGGGATATATAAATTAAGCTCAATTTCACTGGAATTACTTGGGTAAATATGACCTGTTGAGCTGCAGTTCAGTTAATAAGAATTAACCTCTACTTAAAACCTTATACTCAGAAGTGAATGCACAAAACACGTCTTGGATCACTTTCATCCAGCACTTCCATTCCCAATCATTATCCAAGCTGTAATGTCACTACAGCCATCACATGAGTTACATCATCATATATCTCACTATTGTTGTTTGTTTTGTTTTTTTATATATGCTACATATTTATGGTAAAGGTTTAAATCAAAGAGTGTAAAAATGTCATTTTACAAATCCTAACCTCAAACATCTTAAAATTGTCGTTTTTCTTTTTCGGAGTGTACAGAGTCAATATTGATGAGTAAAAGGAGACACTTTCAGAAAACTCAACGTTTCCTAAACACTACTTACCGCTTTAAGCTGCTCCAATCGGTCCTTCATTTTTAGGCGGTTAGCTTCACAGTATTACAATAAAGAAATAAACACAATATTGTGCAAAAAGGGTTTTAAAATAAAATAAAAAACTAGTCCCAATCTCTCAATTTCTCAGCCAGCTGCCAAGCTAGCTGTGCAACAGAGACCCACCGCCAGTGAGGCAGAAAATTAAACTCCCCAAAAGTCTTGACAGATGTGCCTGAGAAAACGACTTTTTTCTGAAAACAGGAGTCTTTCCGTCGCTTTTCCATACAATATGGCTGCTGGGTTTGAAGCCAGTGTTTTTTCTTGCTAAATCTCCTCGCTCAGGGGATTAAAACAACAGTTGTGTGGAGCCGTATAATCTGTTTCTCCGCTGGCTACCAGTAATCATTCTAAAACGCACTTTTATGGCTAACGCATGCGCAGACAAGTCCCCCGATCGCGGGGATGAAGCCACGCCCTGAGCCACCTGCACTCGTGATGCATTCAGGTATTGTAGGAATAATAAACTGACTAACCTGCGGATTTGTTGGAAATCTTTTAAAAATATATAATAAGGAATCAAATGTGATTATTTTTGTCTTATGAGGGAATTTAGAGAAAGATATGGTGTCACAGAAGATAAACATCCGCAGAGTCTCACAACAGCTTAACAACATGCTGTTAAATATCAAGTTGCCTGGTTGAACCAGTATAAAGGTATGAAGGTAATAACGGAAGTCATAGTATGTTAGTATGCCCAGAAACATACTAAGGCAACAACTCTAACCTACCAATTTTCACTGTACTTTGGGGCTTTCTGTGGTATTATTGGTTAATTAGCATGATGTCATTAGTTTCACTGGTATGTAGTAATAAGTAAAAGTCCATCCCTCTTCTTCCACTTATCCAATCCAGAGCAGTGGCAGGGCCTGACTCCTTGTACACCTTGGAGAGGCTGCCAATCTACTGCAGAAGTAATGCAGAGAGACAGACAACAGCAAGCTTTAGGATCACCAGTTAACCTAGAATACCTAGACAGAAAATGCAAACTCCAGACAGAAAGGCCCCAGACTGGGTTCAAACCATGATCTTTGTTCTGTGAGACAAAGGGTTTGTTTTTCTACTGCTGGAAGAAGTGAAGTCAAATGATCAGCAACGAGAGCATCGATCCAGAGTGAAACATGAATACCTGACACAAATGTCATTGCACAAGTTATTCTAATGTTGTGCCACAAATGTAAAACCACTGTATTGCTGAAGTCACTGGCAATGTTTTGCAATAAGTGATCATAACTTCACCGTCTTTCTACCATGAATGTCTGAACCAAAAGTCATCACAATTAATCTATAGTTTAAGAGAGTTTCAGTCAAGAGCAAAGCACTCAACTTAAATTAAAACCAATTAAAACGTGTTTACATCTATTAATCAGGTCTATCTTTGCTGTGTCTTTTCTTTTTTTATTTCAGCACATGGATCATATTGCCATGCCAGTATGTTTACACTGTATTTACATGTCACACCTCAAGGTCAGAGTTCAAAGAGTTATGAGAGTTAATGAGTTTTGAAGAGGAAAACAGCATGACTGATATGGTGGCCTGCAGCATCACTGGAGAATTCACCACCTTACTCTTTACAGCCAAGTCTTTACTGCTGCCCTCTATTCATTTGCGTTTTGGGATATTTTGCCTTAACCATCGAGGGCACTATAAATAAAACATCATCTTTTATCCCCCCCTTAGAAAGCCTTGGAGAGAGCTGAAGACAATTTAATTTTAAAGTAAGCTCATGTTAAAGCAAGTGATCAAGCATACTTATTTATATATTTATTTTTAATTGCGGTGTATGATACTCCCAGTTGCACAAGTGACCCAGGACAGTAAAATATAAATTATAAACTAAATCATAAACACTGTTTATCCTATCGAATGTAGAAAAAACTCCCATGGTTGTTTACAGGCTTTTATTATTAAGGGGGACTCATAATATGATCTCTCAGGTAAATTATCTTATTTAGACCATACGTTTTATTGATTGGGTCACTTTACTGTGAAATATAATATTCCCTATTGGAAATGACAAATCTCGCGGTTTTAACGTAAAGTAAATGTAGCACGAAGGGTTAACACGCTGACTGAGGGCATTACAGCAGCGTTATGGGGGTGGTGGTGCATGAAAAGCGAGCTCGAACTACCAGGTGTGTGTGTGTGTGTGTGTGTGTGTGTGTGTTAATAACAATCAATCAGATCATGGTTACGGAGGTTTTAAGTCAGCCAACCAGAGGAAAGGAGCAAACACCTATCTTCCTAAACTCAGGCATCTCTATCTTGTTATAATGACTGAATATTTTAGTGCAATACGTGTACTCGTATTTTCACATGTGCAGTGTGTTCCGCAGCCAGCAGCAGTAAACATGAATGCAGGCCTAATGTTACAGCTGGGTGTCAGGGATCAAAATCACACTCTCCTCTCTCCCACCGTCACCTAACGCATCGTGATCATTTCCTCCCAGCTAAGCCGATAAAGAAGAGTTTTATTACAGCTTGTAACCAACTGTTGAGAACTGGATATAGATGTCTATTTCCTCATTTGCGGTTTTCTTCTTCACTACGCTTTCAACACACAACGACTAAATTGTGAAACGTAAAGTGGGACCCGAGTCTGAATCAGAACATATGGCGCTGCGTGGAGGGTGAATGATGTTGCACCCAGATCCGTGTAGTAACCGGCACACGTCACAGTGAAGGTGCATCAGAAATCTATTACATAACCCTACAGGGCGCGTTCACTGTGCTCTCAATTTAAAAAGCAGGGGGGAAAGGGAAAAGCACGAGTGACACCTAGTGGCCACGAGCTTAAGATGAAACCCTCCATCGCTGGCATCATCTTGTATGAGTTTTCATAAAAGCACACGTGCGTCCAGTGAAGGATCTGGGACTCAGGTAGCTACTTTATGACTGTAAATGATAACAATGCGTTCAGTCTCCTTCCACTCACACATTTCTTTTGGCTACTCCACTGATCTCTGAGCCTCACTGTGCAGAGGCAGAGTGATGTTATAAGATTCATTTTTTTGTTCTGCTGTCTCTGAACACACCTTGTGAGTTGAAGACATGTCCCATCAAGCATGGCTGGTAGCATTAAAATGAGCTCCAGTGCCAATCGTAGCAAATTATAGGAGGGTGCGATGTGGAAACTTGAAGACTGCGCTGCACAAACATGCTCAGTAGTGCCACTTGGAAAAATTAAGGTTTAGCGTTTCGTTCAAATAGATATGAGCATGTCAGCGGAAGAAGCCACAGGCTCCGACATGTGCCTTGTAGTGATTACATTTTGAAATTGTGTGTTCATGTTATTCGTCTTTATTCTGCAGATAAGGAGGATTGGCAGATGCCTTTTTCTGGAACTTATGCATGAATAATTTAATAATCTATAGCACTTTTTAAGTGCTTCAGTTTCAGTAAAATGACAATTTAAAGTGTACATACTCTGTTAAGCATACACTCTTACATTTAGAGCTCCAATGAGAAAGCCACTGCTGACCAAAAAGAGCACAAAGTGCTGTCTCGGATTTGTCAAAGACATCTTGATGATCCTCAAGACTTTATGGAAAATATTCTGTGGACCGATGAGACAAAAGCTGAACTTTTTGCATCTTATTACATCTGCTGTAAAACTAACACACCATTTCATAAAAAAAGATCACATCAAGAGTCAAACATGTGGTGGTAGTTTGATGGTCTGTGGCTGCTTTGCTGCTTCAGCACCTGGATGACTTGCCGTAACTGATGGAACCATGAATTCTGCTTCCTATCAAAAAATCCTGAAAGAAAATGTTCGGCCATCAGTTTATGCTCTGAAGCTCAAGCGCACTTGATTTAAGCAGCAGAAACAGACCAAGTCCACCTCAGAATGGCTTAAAAAACAAGTAGATGATTATGGTGCGGCTAAAGCAAACTCACTGAGATGCTTTGGCGTGACTTGAAACAGGCCTTTCAGGCTTTAAAACACTCCAGTGTGGCTGAAATAAAACCATTGTGCAAAGAGTGGACCATAACTCCTCCACAGCGATGTGAAAGCCTCATTATCAGTTATCACAAACACTTGACTGCAGTTCTTGCTCCTGAGATTGGCACAACCAGTTATTAGGTTTAGGGGTGCTGCTTTTTCACACAGGATCCTGTAGACTTGGATAACATTTTCTCTGACGAAATCAACGATTAAAGCTGCATTTTGTATTTGCATTTTGACCGTGTCCACTAGATCTTACTTCATTTTGTATTTACATGGGCTATCTTTGTCTAATACTAAAATTTGTTAGATAATCTGAAACATGTGTGACATATATGCTAAAATACTAAGAAACTGGGAAGAGCAAATACTTTTTCACAGCACTGTTGAACATACTTCCATGCAAACATGGTGTAAACTAGGGCAAAAATAAGGAACAAATTATTGAGAAGCTTATCTATAACACAGAGTACTGATTCAGAAATCTACTCTTGATTTCTTTGACCTGCTCTTTTTCCAGGTTGGGATGATTTCACATCATCTGTTCAAAAGGCAACTTGCTAAGGAACATTTAACCAAAATATTAGTGGCAATATATGTGTATGTATTTGACCCTGTATTGCAGTAAATTCAAAATAAATTCTCACTCACGCACCCAATTCTTGTTTTGTTAAGTCATTAAAGATGTATGCTGTACATTCACTCTATCCAAAAAA